CCAAATGCACCCCGACATCACTCCACACCCAATTCCCGCAAGTTACGTCTGTTTCATTCAAATTACATGCGTCCCATGTGGATGATGATGATTATGATGATGATTATATGAAGATAATTATGACGAAGATGATGATGCGCACCTATCCAAATGTATATTGAAAACGCTTTGAAAAAACTCTACGCGCATTATTATCATATACACACGCACAAATGCAAACACACGGAAGCTTAATAAAACATAATATAAACCCATACCTATTTAGCTATTATATCATACTAAATTATTTCCCTTCGTCGTCGCTGTGGCACGATGAGACACTGTTATTAAAGCGTTTACAATATATACTCGTAATATAAATATACAATATAATTTATATAAACGTATATATATATATATATATGTATAATAATAGAATATATACACCGATAAAATATATTCGGTGGCCATTATATATATAGTTTCGTGTCAAAAATAATGGACTACGTATACCATAATATAATAACCTGACAACAAAAAGACGTGATTGTTAATATTATATATATTATTATCTACTGAAGCAGGACGTTTAGCCCCGCATGATGAGCACCGATTGAAATCATCCGTCGCCAATATAATACAACGTGAACGATCGACGATAATAATATTGTATATTTATATTATATATAATATAATATGGAGAATAACGTGCTTCGTTGTTTTATATATTAATTAAGCAAGCTATGTCGTTATCGTGTACACATATCTATATACGTACAACGGGTACCGAAATATATAGCTGTACTTATACATTTATAATATATAATTATATTAATGTACACAATAATATAGAAGACTTTATTACCTACGTTATTTTTATCGGCAATGACAAAATCCTGCAGCAGCAGACTATATTGGACCATCGACTCAATGACTCGTATCGTTGCAAAACAATCGATATTAGTGGTACCTATATACCTGCTATTGGGTACTCCTCATTAGTAAAAAAAAAAGAATAAAAAACGCCTCATTGTATTGTTGGGCGAAAAAAAAAATCAAAAAACCAGACCCGGAGACTTTAACGATGGCTGCGGCCGCTGCTGCAGCAGTGTCTTCGCATGTACGGTTTCGTCTCTCCACGTATAATGTTCATAATATATATACATTATACATGGGTAATTTATATAATTTATTGCACGGTATACCTCGTCGTGTACCATTCAGACCCCGAATCAATCGAGAGGTCTGTTTTTTTCCCTCGTTCGTATATATAATATTATACGTAATACAACATCAAGCCGTGTATATACCTCCTATAATAGGTACATACATGTATATATATATATATAAATGATGTATAATTTACTTAAACCTCCGGTAGCCCGGCGATACCCATCGTCGTCGTCGTCGTCAATGGACGGCAGCCGGTTTGGTCGGGTGGTTCACGCGAACTGTGTATATGGATACCCACACTAACAGAGTCGTGTTCTATTCGTCGTATATATTCGTAATATACATTCGTGGATCGCGTGCAGCACGAAATAGAGGGGAAACGTGCGTACATATAATAATAATATAATATACCTATTACCTATATTGTATATTGGTATATTATATAGTCGATCGAAAAGTCTGATTATTTAAGATTGGTCTTGGCCGACGTGAGCGTGAGCGCGCGCTCAGCAACCGCGATATAATATATAAGAGATGGATAAAAATAAATGAAAAACTACCGTCTGATGAATAATAATACTGTGAAACCTCCCTTAGCAAACACCTCATCTAAATAGCGAACGTTTCCTAATAGCGGACGTTTTTTTGGGAAAAAAACTACAACTACATTTCTACAAACTAAACTCTCTGCAGAATAGCGGACAAAATGTCGGTAACCGCGTCTCTGCGCGGTATTTATAGTGGTTATTCACTATATATTTTATACAATATAACACTCGTTACATTATAAACCCTGGTGTAAATCATTTCCGGAGCAATTTAGCGATTTGCCTAGGTGCCATCACACTGCGCAGGTGCTGTATATTATGTACCTATATTATGTCTACTGCAGTACTGCCTGCCGGTCGCTTGATGATGATATCGAAATAATACAATAAATTATATTATACTATATAACCTTCGCGTGAGATAATTTAAAAACAATAATACATATTAATATTATATACTATTTATTGTTTTTTTTTCTCAGGATTGTCTCGTTGAGATTATTATTATATTAATAATTATGTATACAACTCGCACATATTATCAGTTATGAGTATATACATATAATAATATAACTATATAGGTACATATAAATATACAGGGAGTAACAGATAAAACTGATTTTTGGAATAAATTTTGTTTCAATATTATAAATTTATTTTTATATAAAATTTATATTTTATAGTCACTATTGCGCTACACATATATTATACAAAAAATTATTTTTATTTTTAAACTGAAAATAAGAAATTTTAAATTTTTTTTAAAACTTTTTTCAAAATATTTTCAAGTATATATCATCATGTTTTTTTTTTTTGTCAAGTCTTTCTGTTACACCTTGTTATATCTATGTATAATACGCTCGGAATAATATAAATATTATAATATACGGTCCGCGTGACGCGCACGGAAACCGGTACGCGGCGATGGAAACACGCAAGTGCCCGCGACGTTTCGCGCTGCAGACTCCCCTAGGCCGGATGACCGGTGCAGCGACGGCGGCTGCTGCTTCTACGGCCATCGGGTCCGAGTGTCGTGAGGACCTCTAGCGCGACCTTGGCGTGCGCCGAACAGGTGCCGACTTCTCATCTATCCTCTCCTTCCCCCGCCCGTGACTCCTCCCGAAATGACTTTTTCCCCGTCTTCCGCGGGCGAGCGCGCGCTTCCCGTCAGCCAGCGGAATTATATACCTACCTGTAATAGTCGTAATGTGCCGCGGACGATATAATAATAATAATAATAATAATAATAATAATATTATATACCTCTGTCCAATACCTTCATAGCTGCCTAGTGCGCCGCATAATATAATATTAAATAAAATAATATACAAAATTATGTAAATAATAACGCGGCGTTTAAATTATTTTCGGTTCGTTTCGCGTTCATCGTCAAAAACTGCGTCTGCGCAAGGTATAATTTAATATATTATTGGAATAATCGCGGGAACCGCGCGTGTTCGTATATATTATCAGCTATATTAGTTACTATCTATATGTGTAGTTTGTGCTGCAGGCTGTGCTCGAAATTTCGTTTTTTCCTCCCGCCGCCGTGTATTCACGATGTAGCTGGTATAGGTACATAACATTATTACCTGCACGACGACCGGTGAACAGGTGCCCGGTGGAAGAAAAAATTTAATTTTTCGACCAATTATTATATGCGTGCGATGTATGGGTTGAGAGAATAAATAAATAATTATAAGGCAATAATTTTTGGCGTCATATGCATGTGCGCGTGTCTTACGTGTACGTGGCGACCCCCACTAGCTGCTATAAAATAATCTTCAGTGGCTTTCTAGAGCACAACTTTAGAACTTCAGAACTTCTGCAGGGTATAGTACGCGGACGAAAACACGTTGATGTCGTATACATCGAGAGTAGATCGTGAGGTCGTTTGTTAAATAGTAGTTTGTGATGAAGTTTAGCCCCCCCCCCCCCACTATTCAATCGAATATCTTTAGTATACCGCGATTGCAAGGTTCGAGTCACTGTCTTTGGAATATTTATTTATAATACCCCCCCCTGTAGGTTTCAACTTAACCTATATGCCTATAACTGCATTATCTAGTCTGTTATATCACTAAACACTATTAACTACATTATTCATTAATACATTATTATACATTATTCACTCAAAATGTATTAGTTAACAAATTATTACAATTAATCCAATAATATAAATTGTTTCAATAAAATGCATTAAAATAATAATATAAGAACGTGACTGTTCCAGAGGGTTTACTCCGGCGTATTTATACTACGTCCATAATAATATAGACGCCTCAAAACACGTAATATTATTATTACTATTATATAGTAGTATAATAACGTATATAGTGCCTATACGAGTTTTACGCGCGATCGACTGTAATGTGAGACACGCAAAAGTGCACAACGATGTATACCCAGCTGTATTATATATATTATAGTACCTATCATATATATTTTAATAGATTATTTTACCCGCGAGACCGTAAAATAAATCATTTCGGAACAAACCTATATACCTACAGTATTATACACATATAAACAGTGAACACTGTATTTTACAACGAACGTTATGACATGACGTCCGGATATAAACCGCGACCGCCGTTATGGTTTTTATACCATAGGTGTGTGCGTAATGTGTATAAAAGTAATATTTGTATTTTGTATTATTTATTATTATTGTCCGGACTCCGGAATGACCGCGGCGCCCGCGGACGCCTGTATAGAGTAATACGTCGTCGTCTCTCCTCGCGAATCGCATACCTACCTATAATAAATTATTATTATTCGTATTAAATAGGTACTACGCCGTTGATGGTTTTTCGTTTTTTATCGTCGGTTTTTTTTCCACGGATCAATTACAATTACACCCGTGACATTATTATAATATGATAATAATGTGCCCAACCCAAAGTCCGGTGGCCGGTGTTTACGATTCGAAATCGACTTATATGTTAAAATAATAAATCGCGCAATATATAGGTATACCGGTATAATAATAATGCGCGTATAGTGGTCGTCGGTTTTACGACCCAGACGGTATAGAAAACGGTTATTTCGTATTTAACGTCCTCGTTGAAAACTCAATTAAAACCGTCCGTAAACGACCGCAACACCGTCCGGCGGACTATATACCTATACAATAATAATATAATATAATACGTGTAGGAAAAAAAAATTGGATATAATATAGTTGACGTGTATACGTGAGGCTGGTCAAATCGATACGTTATCACTTGTCTTATCATAATATATGTAATATTATTATTAGTATTATTCGTTTTAATGTTATGACGTGTTTGTTTGCAGGAGAAACCACACAAGTGCACACTGTGCGCCAAGTCGTTCCCGACGCCCGGCGATCTGAAATCTCACATGTACGTGCACAACGGATCTTGGCCTTTCAAGTGTCACATTTGTAACAGAGGATTCAGCAAGCACACGAATCTGAAAAACCACTTGTTCCTGCACACCGGTAAGTGAGTTGTAGTTTGTTTTTATTACACGTTTCGGTACTTATATAATAATATCATCACCCATACCTGCTTATATTGCAAGTAGTATTATAGTAAAGTTGTATGTTTATTATTAAGTAGAGGTAATCTGTATAATATTATAATATATATTATGAGATATACTACTACATAATGTCCACTACCTCCAGTGAAGTATTATAATGGTGTATGATATCTACGTTTAATTGAACACTGCAGATGTATTTTCCGAATTTAAATCGAATATGATAGTATAATAATAACCGACCTATAAATTATAATATGATTAAAAATGTATGAAACCCATAAATATAGTACAACTGTCTGTGCATAAATAAACCGTTTTGGCGCACCCAGGTATTAAGTACTGAGTGATTATATTTTTAACGATATTCAGTCAATGTCTCCGTAATAAGCAATTTAATAATCATTGAAAGCTATATTAATTTTTACAGACTACTTTAATTCGTTTAGACCTCATTAAAATAATCACCTTAAATATGACTTTTTATTATTGTTATTTTTTTTTTGAGCTTTCAACAGAATGATAACAGCATGACTTTTTTCTGAAAATATTACACACAGCAGACTTATTATTTCGGCTATGTATTTTACCACTTTTGTGAGTTAGTCGTCATCAGATATAATATAATATTGTTAATAATATGCACCTATTATACTAACATCAGGACGAATATTGCCCCCGTACATACTGATAGTATATATAAATATTTTCATTATGTCAGAGCAACGTATATGCCGAGGGCAATCGGTATTTTTATTACGATCATTATTATCATTTTTTTTTTTTTTTTTTTACTTCCAGTCGACTCCGACGGTCGCTACACGCATATATAGTATATACTTATAACGTACCTAAATATACCGTGCCACGTTGTCCAGGTAGGCGATCGTCTCTGTCGTCGTCGCCGGATGGACGGGATTTCGAGGATCCGATGTTTTTTATTTTTATATCTCTTTAATCCCGCGCGTTAATGGAATTCGTGTTTTTGCCTCCCATCGCACATCATGCACACACGCGCGGCTTCTACAGAAGTAGAGACTCCTCCACGCACACACACACACAAATACAACGTAGGTGGGAAGGTATTAGGTAGACAGGTATATAGACGGTAGGTAGGTAGGTACATGGTACATGTACATAAATATAATATATATACATATGTGTGAGTGTCTGTGCTTCGGGGCTGCCCCGAAGTGATACGATACCTGGTCCACGCCGCCACCGCCGTCGTTTTTATATAATTATTACGGCGTCGGCGGCAACAGTAGCTCGAGCTGCAGTGCCCGTTGATATACTATACATGTACATACACTATATACAGGTACACACAATATAAACCATTGACGAGGAGGCGCTCGGGATACCGGCCGAAGTAGAGGTATAAAGGTAGATACTTGATAGAGAGCTGAGAGAGATAGAAACAGCGAGTGAGAGATGCACTTTCAAACGTGCGTGGTATCGGCTACCGGACTTTGATGGTATTATAAGGCGCGTGTTGGTCGTATTAATATTCAATTTTTTATTATTATTATTAACTGCCGGTTTGCGGGGTATAAGTCACTTACAGACGATTACAGCAACAACATAATATACATAATATGATGTTATAATGTTCTTAGAATATCATTTACGTCACATATAATGGAGACGAGTGCATCGTACTGTGCAGTGTGTACCTAAACTATCCATCATATGTGACGTGCGACCGCTGCACCGCTGCTGCAGTTTTACATTATTGTTATGGTCAATTTGCAACGTACTTTATACTTGTGTTGTCACATAATATAGGGGTAGTATAGTGTGGGTAAGTTTTATATATGGTATGGACCACAGCGTAATAATAATATACTCAGATACTCTCACATCTGCAGTCATTAAGGTCATCATATTATATCGCCAGGTAAAAAAAACTATCAATATAATATGTATTAAATATTATAATCGTTCGGAAATAGAGAGACGAACGATGTTATTTTATTTGTGAAAAAAACACACTTTTCTAAAAAAACAAAAAAATAATGAAAAATTTAAAAGTGTGTGGTATAATATGTCAAGTTTAAGAGCGCCACACACTTTTAAATTTTTCATTATTTTTTTGTTTTTTTAGAAAAGTGTGTTTTTAAAAAATAATTTTTTAATTTTTTATTTTCTACTTTTTAGTTAAAAAAAATTTTTTTACGGATTATTGTATTGTCATCCAAGACCAAGGTCTATACAAATTTTCAGAATTTTTCATCTTCAAAAAGTGCCTCAAATCGAGCGCGCAAGATTTGATCACAGACAGACGTGTAACCAAACTTAAGAAAAGTGTTAAAAATTGACAAATATAAATTCATTGTGTAATGATGTTTTTACAACTGCAGTGCAATATTGGCAAATTATTGCATTAAACTATTCATGTAATAGGTAGCAATATGGGTACAACATATTATTTGTATTTTGTATACATATTCAAAAACATACGTCCTATATTGTATAATAATATGTGCCTTCCTAAATAATCAAGTATTTATGTTTTCACCTCACGTTATTAAAAATGATTTTGACGCCCTTGAGGCTTTTATAATATAATATTTAGATTTTTTTTTTAATATTTATTATTCATAAGCACGCATAAATAAAAACGAAGTTTTAAAATCGTATTTAATCGTAACACATATTTACGTGTTACGCTGGAAACTATATTATAAACTGTAATAAATGTTGTAGGTAGTATGAAAACATTTTTCATCTCAATATGATCTTTAAAAATACACAATCTCATTTATTTTTATTCGTTATAAATTATAATATTTAATGTTACGTAGAATGTATATACATAATATAACCTATAGGTATAACTGCCTCGATTAATATTATATATTTTACACGGTGGATACCGTCGTGATGGTAAAAGTTTTTTTATACATTTTATTTTTTTGTTCAACAACCGTCATGATTTAGCATAAACTCGTGGTATTAATTAAATTAATATTATATTATGCTCATTACGACGTTTTAATAGAGTTATACATGCGTCTCACATCGGTATTTCGTTGTACTCATATATTGTTTATAAGTTATAAATTGTAAGAAGCATACATACCTGTTGTACCTACTACGACCTACCTATACTGCATCCACGACAGCTGCTACTGCCTTAAGTGCTATTAGGTTATTTCTTCATAGTATTATTATTATTATTTCTTAATCGCTCGCCAGTATTGACATAAAAAATGTATCCATGTATCAAGTAATAATAATTGATTCGATAAATTAAAAAAATCCATATACGTAGGCCTTAGAATAATAGGCGCGTTTCCTATGAGCTGAATAATAATATGTATATATTAGTTACTTATATACAATAAATATAATTATGTACATTATACGTAGGTACAATAATATATTATTAATACATAGTATAATACGCGTTCGAAACATTATTGCGACCATTTTTTACACCAGGTGTTATTGTTTTTTATTTCTCATTATTATTTATTGGGTAACGTTGTGTTATTATTATCATATTATGGGCGCGTGCCTGCAACCCGCGTGTGGTTGACAAGTCGGAATGCAACGCGGCAGGCCAACATTTATATTATATTGTATATTGTTATATTAGTATTCCACATAATTCATAAGTATAACTTATTGTAACTTGTAAGTAATACGTAGGTATAATACGCTCGTGTTATATTATTACATAAATCTACGTATGCAGTGTGCGTATGTAGGTACACACGACATCGCGGCTGTCGTTATCTGTATATATAAATCTATAAATATAATATTATTCGTATTATTGCAGTAGTGGGTATACCTAGGTATAGGTTGGTATCTATTAACACTTGCTCGATGCATATTTTGCGTTTACAATAATTATAATAATATTATCATAGTACCTATAATATATAACATTATGTGGATTGATAATTTTTCCGATCGACGCAATTTTTTTCGCCATAACATAATCGCCCTCCGGCCACCGACGACGACGACGTTGTGTACACATTGTAGGTACCTACATAATATATTATATTATATATATATATATATAGTTGCTATGGGTACAAGCGTTGAGCGCCATATTATATATACCTAGCTATATATTATATGCGGAAATTTAGACCTTGACACTGGTGTAGTGCAAACAGGCGCGTGTCAGCTTTCGAGGGCACGACGGTAACGTTTATACCAGTACGTAAACATATTATACCTATGTTGGCCGACTGCTGCACGCTATATAAAGTGCACGTAATAGCTTTGGCGTTTTGCGTTCAAACCCGTTCTTGAACTTGGACGTGAAGAATATTTATTCGTTCTTCACCATCGGTCTCGCTCACATTTTGAAATTGGATTTCAATACGCTGTACGCAACCTTATATTATAATATTATTGTTTTGTTATACGACGTCATATATTATTATGGCTGTATTATATCGGAGCTATAGTATTGATTACTATTGCTATCGCCTGAATCAGTCTAATAGAGTAGTATAGTCTAATTTATGTATTGTTTTTAGGCGTGCGCCTACCAGTGTTGAGCTCGGATAACAAAAATAATATCTAGATAAGATAAAGATAATTTCGTAAACAATTATCTAGATTTAGATTCAGATGATCATTTTTACTTTTATCTAGATTAAGATAAAGATACATATTTTTTTTTATCTAGATATCATAATAGATATTTTTATTTTTTGTTTAAAATGCGCAAAAAATAAATATATTTCTTAATTATTTTAGACAAATTCTTTTAGTATTTTACTATTTTATGACCATTCATTTTAATAAACAACATTTTTCAATGCAATTCCTCATTTAATTGTTAAACAATGATTTATTTCTGTCTACCTACTTTTTTACTTCAACTCAAACTGAACATGGAAATGTTACACTATTACGTAATAACAATATTATTTAGCTTTATATAAATAGACAAGAACGATATTATTTCATTGAAACCATTTCTAG